GGTTGTACTGTATTAATATCGGTATCAAGCATATCAGATCGAATGAAAATTCGTGGCCCTTTTATAATAGCGTTTGCTTCCATTGGAATCGTGGGATACATAATTGTCTTGTATTCTGCCGAAGTAAATTCTCTAATTGGTTAATATTTCAAATTCTTATAATAATTTTAATAATCTTTTATTATTATATTATTCTCACTTTTAATTATAAATTAAATAGTTAAATACATGGCTACTTGGATTATAGATATAGGTATAGCTCCATGTGGAGTTCTTTGTATTACATGGTAGGTATAAATCTAAATAATTCAATGTTAGATAATAATCCAATCTTATACTAGACAATATTTATACACCCAATTATATATATATATATATATTAATCATTTAAAAAGGCTATCAAACAATCTGGCACCACCACTAAAGCGTAATATAGGTATTGCGATGATGCTAAGTTTCGGTAACGCTGGAGGTTTAATTGCCGCTCAGATATATCGTTCTGTAGATTACCCTAATTACGTCCCTGGTCATATTATTGCATCTGGTTTCTTATTGGCGTCTATTTGTTTGTGTATAATCCAGTATGGAGCTTTATTCCGTCTTAATGAATTGAAAAAAAAGGAAAGAATTAAAATTGAAAGTACAGGTGATGAAAAAATTGATGATGAATGGAAATTAGGAGATAGACATTATGGATTTATCTATTGTTTGTAAATTATAATCTGCCGTTTTTTTTGAATAGGGGAGAAGTGTAACCTATTATGAAAGTTAACTTATATAATGCATTTGTAATTACATAAATACCAAATACTGAAATTCTATAATAAATTTTATTTTTAAGTGATCGGGAAATTTGGAATCTTTAATCATCATTATAAAATATTGCGCATTATATAGGTGATTGTCTATGAAAATCGATTATATCCTTACGCAGTAAAGTCCAATCAAGTAACTAACTGCTAAGTTAATTTTCTCGGTAGCGTTCTGTAAATTTGCTGTGTAATATTTCTCAGTAAGATCCAGTAGGTAACTGAGTAAAGTATTCGTTTTCAGAGTAACACAGAGAAAACTAATAATTGTCATATGGGTCTTATGTACTCGTAAAACTTTAAAACAACATGTAAAATCATGTATAAAATTTGATTTTGTGAGAGCAATTCGTACAATCCAGTAAAAAAATTTTGTAAGAGCGATGCCATAAAAATCTTTATTTTTGTTAACCATATGATAAATAAATTTCAAATATTTGAACTTATGTTAGGCAAATATTTGAAGTTCGAATACTTGAGGGTGACCAATTATGGACGTGGCGAATAAGAATTGGTTATATAAAACATATAGCCAATTCTTATTCGTTACACGACAAATTATTTACGACCATACTATACTCCGCGATTTTTGTAGTATACACTACTTTACTACACCATACACCACTACTATTCGTAATACTGAATCTAGTGGATATTTCAGGGACTAGTTATAAGGTCCAGTTTTGCAAATCAGCATGCCCTTAATTTTTTTTTTTCATAGGTCATTGTTAGGGTTCTGCCGGGCATGATGCCGAAAAATCATAGTGCGGGGGTGCCCTAATTTCCCCACCACTTTACTATCGGAATAGAAAAAAATTGATTAATAAAATAAATACTCCGCTAAGTGAATAATTAGTACAGCCA